AATATGGTGAATGTTGGTCCAATCCACAAAATCTAATAGGAAAGATTCCATCAGGAAAGGGATTCCTCTTAATGACCTCTGAATAGCAGTGTTGCTTATAAGTTCAGAATCAGCAGTCTACATAGAAGATACAATGTCCTAGAGTCTATGGCACTGTGGCATGAACAGGAATTTTGTCTGAGCGGGGCATTCCATTGCGCCCCCCCTTCCTATTCTTGCAGATTCTGTGCTGAATCTAACAGCAGGATAAACACGGGCAGGGAGGAAACTGCTCTTCCTATTTTACAGCCATGGAAAGACAGCTGACCTACGCAACTGCATAATGCAATGTGCAATGCTCCATACATCTAGGAAACAGTTACAGGAAAGAATTCAAGATCTTACAAGGCTAGAAAGCTGAACATTGCAAGGAACAAAAAACACACAGATCAGGTTACAAACCGAAAATACTGAAGCAAAATAATCACCATCTGGCGAAATCTGTGTTTGAAATTGCGCAATTTTCTCGAATGTTGAGCCTCATCAACTACTATAAACACTGCAGTATTAACTCGGGATCACTAAGCCTGATGAACGCAAGCAATGCATCCTATTCAAGCGTCACTTACCAATGGGCTGGTTATGGATACAATAATGAAGATTGCCAATCATTGGAAGAACTTGTTATCAAACCAACATTTCATATACTGAGCAATCTTTTTACAACTGCAATGAATCTGTCCTCATATTAACCCTTTCGCTGCCAAGCCCTCCGGAACATTTTTCAAATCAGCTGGCCAAGCCATAACAGTTCCTAACTCATGTGCACTATATGCATCTCCCTTACCTAATCCAGAGAGACAACTGTAACAGGTTTAGGTGTGGTGTGAAATCAAGGCCAAGCTGGCATCTACCCATCATTCTCAAACATTCTAGAGAAATAGAGAACCCTAGAAGATGGTGTTCACATTAACAGAATTGGTTAGTAACTACACAAGTCAGGACCTTCCCGATGCCCCACAAACCACCCGTGTCCAGACCTTAAAACTGTCACAATAAAAAATGTCACACGTCGGCTCAATAGATCGGGAAGTGAGCGAACACATACCTTCGCTCTCTCACTTCTCGATCTTGTCCCTGCAGAGAGCGGTGACTGTCACTCACGGCTCCCTGCAGGGATTCTTCCCTCTCCGATCCTCCAGCGCTGACTGACGGAACGGACTGGGGAGGGGGCAGGTACAGCTTGCTCTGCCTCTGGATAGGCAGAGCCAGCTGTCACTCCCGCAGCTGGGGCGGATCTCGACAGTAATGTCGGGATCCGCCCCAGTTGCGGCAGTCTAAGTATAACGCGAGCTGTTGATCGCTATATACTCAGCTCTGGGTCATGGGAGGAGTCTAGTTTGTGTCCTCCCGTGACCCTAAAGAGAACTATGCGGAAAAACACTTACCCCATAGTTCTCTTTTGACTGACTTTTTAGAGATGTATCAAGTAGTATGATGGCTTGATTGTTAGCACAGTGATCGCAGGTTCAATGTCCAGCATGTACACCATCTGTGTGGAGTCTGCGTGGGTTTACTTCTAACACTGGGGGACTTGTTCACACCAGAAGCATTGGGTCTGCGGTGGAAGCCTTTCCCAAAACACTCCCAATACAAAGTAAAGATGCTCTGAAAGTAAACATTGATTTCATATGAGTCTTAAATCAGATGACTCATCGATGGAAAGACCCGTACCAGTGTATGTGAAATCCAGCCATACAAGAGAAAAACCCTGTTTGCTCCCTTTTGGTCTGCTACAGAAACTCCAGGCACAAAGCTAAATACACTTTTCTGTCCTGGTGCACTGAGATTTACAGAGCTTTGGCACATCACAGAGCTCCCTCTAGCAGGGCAAGAGACCTGATCTTTCTTTACTGTGGTTTAATAACACTTACTGATCTCACCGCCCCCACCCTATCACAGGACAGTGAAAAGGAGAAGCAGCAAACTGATAAGCTTGTATCTCTCACTTTGCAATCTCCTCCTATCAGCATGTTGTTTCCCTGCAGCACAACCAATTGTTTCCCTGTGCTGCTTCTCCTTCACCCAGAACTCTGCTGTACATGGACTGTGAAAGGCTGAAATGTACAATAGTTGCATTGAAAACACACCCATGGATGCACTAACACACACAGAGCTGCGGTAACTTGGATCTTTTACATTTTCCTGGCGTTTAGCTTAAAATATAGAATAGAAAATGTTTTGTTATATCTGTCCTATGGGTGCAAAATATTACCTGTTGATCCTGCCAGAGAGCCGGTGCTGCCTTGTGCAATCTGCAATATTATCTACCATGCCCAGTTCACCTGAACTAATATTCTAGAGTAAAAAGTTTTCTTTAACTCTCGGCGCTAATGGCTGCCAGCTGAACGATCCACTTGCTGTTGCATACTCAGTTATCAACAGTGTATCACAGTTTTTCACACAGACTTCAGGGGCAGATTCCGATGAAGGGGGCTTGCCCCTGAAATGCGTCAATCTTGGCTGACTGCGGCCGCTGGATGGTGATGGTGATTGTCTCCCCGCCCTGCGTCGGTTAGTGTCTCTCTCCTCTTCTCATCCCTCCCCCCAGCGTCGGTCAGTGTCTCTCTCCTCTTCTCTCCCCCCCCCAGCGGTGATGGCCGGGGACTCAGATCGCGACCCCCCCCTGTTCACTTGCGGGACCCCATATGGGGTCGCGACCCACACTTTAAGAAGCACTGTTCTAGAGTACCCGACTAGACCCAAAACCCACAGAGCTTTATTATGCAAATATGGACTCGGAAAGCCTACTCAAAATTTTGATTGCCTCACCCACCTCACATAAATCCATATAAAAATCTAAACATACTTTGAGTGATTCATCCGTAAACTGGAGCTCTGCCCATGCCAAGAACAATGAACTCAAGCATGTGATTGGTTGTTATGGGTAACTCCTGCACACTTCCCGTCCTACAAATTTTGTACAAAAGCTTCTTTGTTTAGCTGTACTTTCAGTTTCGGCACGGGGACCAGCGAAGCAGAGAACCAGACTCTAGAGGAAGTACAGAACGGAGTGCGGAAAAGGAAACTCATTAATATCTTCCTATATGATCAGCAAGGGGATTATGTCACTGGGGCCCCACAAGCAAAGAGCATTCCAATAATGTTAAAGCTGAACTCCGGACTCACACAAAGCCTTCAACAGTTGTACAGACTCCACTCTCTGGTACTGAAACTGGAGCAGCTAGTGAACTAAATTAGCAATTAGAGGGCTACTAATGCCTCTCTGTTTGAAAGCGTGAAGGGGACATTTTGTTTTAAATATCTGGCACTCAATTTCTTAAAACACATTTTTAAGAAAATATTGGGGGTCTAAACCGACTCCTGATATTTCCCTTTTACAATAGAAAAAGAGATTGAGGACACAGAGTCCATAATCTCTTTTTCTGCATCCCCGGTTACAAATGAACAGGAATAGTCTATACTGAGTGCTCCTGTTCCTTCATAACTTGTGCACAGAGTATGGTTACTATAACCACAATCATGAATGAACAGGAAGTGATGTAAATCACACTCTACTCATTCATAACTGGTACATAGTAACTCATGTCAAGTTATTTACAAAAAGTAGGCTGTGGTCAGCGGTGCGGGGAGGAGAGCCCTGTCTCATTTGACAGCCGACTCCTCCCCCTCACCACCAGCTGAGAGCTGTCTCCGCCCCCCCACACCACTGTCCTAATCTGTTACGGGAGGAAAGCTCAGCCTCCTGTGACACGCTCACGTCGCTCTCCTCGGCTCCCGACGGTTTCTCTCCTCCCTGCTGGACGCTTCGCTGTTTGAGGGACACAAAGCAGTGCCCAGCAGGGAGGAGAAAAACTATGGATGCACGGCAATTTCGGCAGAATGATGGCACTTTAGACATTTGGCCCAAAGTGCCATTTTCGGCTTGCTATCTGTGTCCCCATCGAGGTTTACCTTCTTGTCCCACAGACACAACAGGCAGTTGGAAATTCCCTTTAGACAAACTAGTTTCCCATTCCCATATTAATCTATGGAAAAGCAAAACCCGCTTGAAGCAGACCAAAATTAAAAAGGTAAATGCGCCTGTCAATGAAATCTGTATTAAAGGAAGAGTATTAAACTTGATGCCATTAATGCAGGCCCTAAAACACCATGGGGGGAATGTATCAAAACTGGAGCAGACAAAATCTGGAGCATCTTGCATGGCAAACAATCAGCTTTCATTTTCACATGTTAACTGAAGAGAGAAGCCGATTGGTTGCCATGCACAGACGCTCCAGATTTTGGATGTTCGTTTTGATAAAATTGCCCTCATTGAATCCATAGTTAAAAAGGAACTTCAAATGACACTAGACTCAGGCTTTTAATCTTAAAAATACATTCAAGTACCTAAACTATGAACAAAAATGTATCTTGTGTATCACTCGGCTGTAGATCCTCAAATCATCTCTGAATTGGTGCTGACACTGTCCTTCCTTCTGGAGGGGGGCTACTTTTGTACCCAAGGCCCCTGTGTGTATTGTAAAGAAGCCACTGCTCCAAGCTCTCTCCCCCCATGATGGGCTACAATCTCACATTCATACCAATTTGTATTGTCGACCATCACAGGAGCGAGCTTGAAGCGGTGGCTACCTTGAACCAAGAAAAAACTGGTGCTTCCTTATTCCAAAACTTACATAAATGTTGAAAATGAGGAAAATCACAAGACTTGAT